GATTAAATAGTGCAAATGTATTTAGCTGTGTTCTGACACAGTGCTTTAAAACTTGAATGTACATATAGTCAACATTTTTTGGGGCACACAGTTCATGCAGGTCATGAAATGTGCATAATGTGCACCAGCTCAAAGCCCATTTCTACCTAGGGCTTTGAGGAGCAGATTTGTATTACCTAATTATGATCAGATATTACATTTCTTTATCAAATATAAATATTTTTTCCAAATCCAGGGCTGTTATTAATTATGCATGCAGGCCAACAAAAAAAAGTCCATCACATACCAACAATGCAGCTTGATCCCTCAGGTGGGATGAAGTTTTGTTCTTTTTTTGTGCCTGGACCCAGGTGTTTTCTTTCCTATCAAACTTGTCAATTTGTTTGCTAAGGCGCAGTTTGCGGGGCTGAACCGCCTTGCAGAATTTGCAAGTTTTGCATGCCACATTCAGTGACATGCAGCAGCTTCAGCATTGCCTCGAAGTGGAACCTGGTCCTGGCATTCTTTTGGAGATAAAGATAATAAAAGGTCATTTAAAACTGGGTTTCAAATTCAGAATGCAATCAAATACAAATATTGACTCATTTTCCTTTTGTCTAGTCCGTCACTGTAAGCCTCTCCCCTTGAAGCTACAAAAAATCGGTATCCTGTTTAGAATAGAATAAAAACACTTGCATTTTTATTTAATTTGAGTAAATGAATTTAGTATCAATTCAATAATGGCCCCTTACTTAGTTTTACTACAATTTCAAAGCAAAGCTAAAATTCAGCGTTAAAATATGTACTCGAAAGTAAGGTTACACAACTTCTACTATCTTACAAGCTTGACCATGACATTGCAGTGTAAAAGCACAATCTTGAATTTGACAAAAAGATATGATACTGTTGTAATCCTAGATATAATTTTTATTATAATATAATCTAGAATTATAGCAGTACTCTAATCAGGGGTGCACATAACTGGTACGCAGGTACGCATGCGCGGCAACAATCTGAAATGCGTACCGTCACTTGTGTCACAAAGCGCATTTGCGTACCGACGTACTTGTGAAGCTTTTCCAGAAGGCGGTTAGATCACCGGACGACAGAGTCGGTCTCCGTGTGCGTAGACGGTGCTGCTGTTAACGTCGGTCTGTACAACGGAATTGTGCCAAAACTACGCCAACCGGCTGCGGAGGGAGACTCCCCACCTTCACTGGAGAACTGCGCTAAAACAGCTGATCACAACGTTCACACTCTGTGGTCACGAAGTACTCCACTAGCCCCCCCGTCAACTTTCCTGAAGTACTTCCCCGTTGATAGAAATCAACACGTAATGAATTAAGACCCCACGGTGTGATGATTGATAGGTGTGTGGGCTGTCTTTAATTTTGACACACATACAAATGTTATAATAAACATACATACTGTATGTTAAATGGATATATCCGCCGTCTTTCATTTATCTTTCCATTCCCACAACAATATTTACATAAAGAAATGGCATATTTTGAACATAGTTCGAATGGTGATTAATCATGATTAATTAATTTTTAAGCTTTGATTAATCTGATTAAAATTTGTAATCGTTTGACAGCCCTAGTTTTTATATAAATGGATCAGGACAAAAAGTGAGCGAATCTTTTTTTCCTGCAACTTTCAGAATCTTTTTACACATGTTGATGTAGAAAAGACATGAAAAAGTGGATTTAGTATAATACCACTCCTTACCTTACACAGTATGCCTGCTGTTATTCCTAACCTGTTTATCTTTGTGCCGCACTAACAGACACAACACCAACCCTGTGGGCACAGAGTGGCGCTGGAAGATGGACCCTGCTGAGAAAATCCTGGAAGATGCCCTTGAGAAACACCAGACCATGATCCGACAGTTCAGAGGTTTGTCCTTTAGCAGGAGCATTCTCCTCTTGTCAATCTCTCTGTATAGTCCTGTTTCTCTTTCAGTCTGTCTGGCTATTAATTTATCCCTCAAACTGTTGCTTTGTCGAGTGCACTTCATACAACCTGAGTGGGGCGACAGGACGCTCATCAACGGCCAGACATCGACGGCCAGACATCTATCGACGGCCGAAATCGGGCCTTTAAAGAGTCCCTATTATGCTTGTTGGGGTTTTCCCTTCCCTTCCTTAAGTGCCCAATGCACACCTGTGTCCTCTTTAAGTAGTGCAACCTCACAAACAATATTTAGATTTTGGGGGTTTTCCCTTGAGTGTTATTTAGATTGTTGTTCAAAATGTTCTGTAAAGGCTAAAATCCCTGTGTTCCCTCCAGAGGGAGTTTCTCTCCCACACCGCCCCCCCGGCCTGACACGCCTCTATTGTACTCCTTTGTTTACTTTAGCAGCATAGTGACATCACTACGTAATACTCGCACTTCTATTGGCTGGCGCTCCAACACATTGTACGTGTTAAGCTAAGGGGCGGGATATCTCTAACTGGTTGACCAATCACAACGGAGCCGGCCAGTTAACCAATCAGAGCAGACTGGTCTCTGGTTTCAGACAGTGGGTGAAAAGAGGTGCTGCAGCACAGGCAGTATGACAAAAATAAAGAGCTTTTTGAACATTAAAGCATGGAGACATGTCCCAGTAGAGGCACTTTAATAAACCTGAACATGAGCAGAATATGGCCGCTTTAATATTTAGACTATTAAAGCCCTAACCCTTTCATCTTACAACGTTTACAGTACATTGACATCAAAGATTGTATGTCTGATTGATTCTGCAACCTCAGTCACCAGGCATCATAAATAAAGTAATCTCCTGTTGTTATTAAAATGGAAAAATAGTGTATCCAAGCTTCTTAGTTCGCTTAAAATAAAAAAAACATGCATATTTGTAATAAAAGGCTTTCAATTACGCCATTTTGTCCAGCAAATAAAGAAAAGCATATTTTCAGATGCTTTGCCATTTTAATGAGAAACACACTAGAGCACAACGCAAGCCTATAATGTCATTATCATCCATAATGTTTTTCCAGCCGCACTACAGAATCACATTAGGCAGCCTTCAACTCCATTTACCATTCACAGTGATACTTTTTATAATGTCTAAAGCAATGATCTAACCAGACACTGCCTCTGAAAACCCACTGTGTGGTTAAACTGGGTTCTACTCTGATTACATGATGTTCTACTGCTTTAAAGATCTCATCAAAAATAGTTTAAAACCCCATGGAACAGTTTATAATAATAAGTTATGAAAAGATGCCTTTAAAAAATAGAAGTTTGGTTACCAACAGAACGTTTCTTGTGATTTAACTCTTACTCTGTTGTTACGTGATACAACAGTAGTGAATATCTTCTTTTATTTCAGTGGAGGATGGGTTTGTTTATTTGATTTTCCTCCATATTCATCACTTCTTCCAATATGATACAGTGTTATGCTCTTTGGTTGGCAGTAAATCAAACTCTCTTAGGTTATACTCAAAGCATTATAATAAAATCCACATGAGTATGAACAAGGGCCGCACAATTTTGAAAAAATAGCTAATTGTGATTATTTTTGACTGATATTGCAATTACCGTAATTTTCGGACTATAAGGCGCACCTGAATATAAGCCGCAGCAGCGGCATACCACTCTCGGTTCCACTTTTACTTTTGCGCGCTACCTGTCTCACTCTTTTCCGGCCTCCAGCTTTTCCTGCTGGAACCCGCCGCTTAAAGGTGGGGGTCCGCGGACCGGCCATAGAGCCCATAGAGTTAAAGGTGGTGGCTGTTAGCTGTAAAAATCCATAGATTAGCCGCACCGTTATATAAGCCGCAGCGTCGAAAAATGGGAAAAAAGGCGCGGCTTATAGTCCGAAAATTACGGGTAGTTAACTTTTTTTTACTTAACTTTGGCAATGTCTGATTAGTGGAACCCATTGAGAGTTCAAATTGAAGACTATTTATATTGTTCATGTCATAATGTCTTTATCAGCAATGACAGAGAAGCATTTGAACGTAAATGAAATACTAGTTTAATTTTCACTCCAACATGAACATGGATACAAAAAAAACAGACAGATCACGGAGGTTGAAAATAAATTCCATTTTAAACATTAAAGGGGAGATCATGTTATTCAGACGCCAATTATTACACGGCTAATTTTATAAACCTATCCAAAAGGTTATTAATATATGTTGTGTATGCATGAGATTTCTGGCGATGCGTTTTTCAAATGGATTTTGATGTTTAAAAATCGTTTGATTATCTTTTCAAAGTAGGCTATTGCAATGTATTTTTTCAGTGCGCGCTACGTAAGCAACGTCACCGTGACCCGGATGTACTTTAGCTCAACTTTATATCCCACAATTCCTTTCTCCTTCGTCCTCTTTCCCTACAGCAGCCATGTCTAAGAGAGGTATGAAACCCACCTTGTAAAATCTACATTCATCTGGTGTTTTATACTCCCCGCCAGCTTTTAAAATGTTGTTTGTGTGTAAAAGAGTGTGCAAGACAACACATCTGCGAGATTAGTTTTTAATTTAGGCTAACGATTGAATAATTCTGAACTATAGCATTTTCGCTAGCTAGTTGGTGGGAGCCATGTTTTGCTATCAGCGCATGAAGCGAGTAAAGCTGGAGGCAGCACATGTGAATGTGCGGTTTTCTGTTGATTTCAGGAAGGTTTAATAGTTATAAACCTATTGTCCGAACATGTAATGAACGCTAACGTGATGTCCCGTGCAGTATATCGGCACAGTTAAGTGCAATTGGTCCTTGCTAGCTAAAGCTAGCTCTGTTAGCAAAGCAGCGCCGGACCAGTACATCATGTTACTGTTTCGCTCAAATCACATTAAGCGCTTTTTCATCTGTTGCAGCAAATTATTTTGTGCACAGGACGATACATTGCTACTTTGCCGGTGGCTCGTGTCTAGTTTGAGTCATACGTTTACGGGTTTTGCTTTGGTAGCTGGGAAGATAGCTGAGGCCTTATGACATACATGGTTCATATATTTGTGTAATGCCAACATTTTTGCTAATCGGCCTGTTTGACTGCTGAAATTATGACTTGTGTAGGATCCTGCGTGAAGTTACTTTAAGTTTGTCGACTGTCATAGCCCACATGTTGTAGTGTTTAGAAACCACTTGAAGTAGTTGGTGATATCCTCGCAGACAAACCATGCACATTCACGTTTTCAGTTCCTTACTGGGCTGATTTTAAAAACACAATGTTCCCTAACTAATTATACGTGTATTCTGGAGATATATATATGGGATTTGACATTGCAGCAATGTTTAAAAAAAAAAAAGAAAGCTTATATTAATTGTACAAGTAGTGGAATTACTGAACTTCGGAACTAGGTCTTGTAAGGAATGGTTATCAGACTGTCAGAATAGGTGATCAGCATCATCTGTCAACTAAATAAAAATGTCCAGCGTCTGTAAACAGACAGTGAAGGTGATTTCGGAAGTAAAGTCGCTTGACTGAATAATTAATCTAGAGGTAGTACTTAAATGTGAACCTTCGTATTCTAAGATTTCCATTTCCTGTGTGCTGTATACCAAAAATCCCTTTTTATCGTATGTTTTATTTGACTTAAATGGTATTTCCATCTTTTTTATTCAAAGTTTTTGGACCAGAATCAGTTTTTATTCAACTATAATAGTTGCATACATAGTTTGGTGTTTTCTCAGAGGTGATACAGATGAATATTCCCCCTTCAGAAAGCACTTGCTTGGTCGTCTCAGTGGCTGGGTGAGTTGTCGTGGAAGGGAATACTAACCCTCATCACTGTGGGTGAGATGGCAGCCTCTGTGGCTGACTAATCTCAATCAGAGATGAGACAACTTCAACTGTTACCTCTAAGGTACTTATATATGGCTTGCATTGGAGCTCTAAGGCTGACTTTGACCTGCAGGTCTTTGATGCATGTTGTCTAGAGGTATTACTTACATTTGTAACTTCATATTCTAAGATTTCCATTGGCTGTGTATCACAAATCCCTTTATCTTACGTATTCGATCATTTAAATTGTGTGTTTCTGTCTTCTTTCAGGACGTGGTGGTTCTTCTGGAGCCAAGTTCCGCATCTCACTGGGTCTCCCGGTGGGAGCGGTCATCAACTGCGCTGACAACACAGGTACGCCTCTACTGAACTATTCAGGGTGTCCGCGGGGTCTTAACAAGTATTAAAAGTTGATAAATCAATTTAGTGAAAATTAAGGCTATTAAAAAGTATTAAACGGCATTTTCCAAGGTATTAAGAAGGTTCACAGCAACGACAACATGAATTTACTGAAACGACATGCCGGGAAACCCCCCAAGGCGGCCCCATGCATAGCACGCCGTAAAATGCTGCTTATTATTTTAAGTTTCGTTGCCTTGCTCCGCTCTGTGTGGGGGGGGGGACTAAACGACTACGGTAACGGGTCCCAAGGTGGGTAGACCGGCATACGCAACGTTCTGGGGTTCCAACGGCTCTGTGTGTAAGCCCTATATGATCATTTTCTGATAGCGATAAAATAGCCCGCCTCCCTCTCCCCACGTCTCCTGCTGCTGCTGGGCTGTCAGAAGAGGGGGAGGAAAAGGGAGGCAGTCACCGTTTATTAAATATTATTATACAGAGAACAGTCGTTATCAATTTGTTTTAAAGCTCAATGAATAACAAAGAAGACCTCTGACCGGCACTTTTCTAATTTTGTACGGAAGATTTAAACTTTAACGGACATGTTGACCGGCGGAACATTTTTTTTACGGAAACTGCCGCACGGTCCCCTCGTTCCTTGGAAGAGGCGGAGAGGTGGGTGTTTTTGATCTGCTGGTGGACTACCTGAGAGATACAGCAGGAGAACACGCCGTCCACCGCGGAGAATAAACAGAAGTGCAACCATGGCAACCATGCTCCGGGGTCTTCTTCGCTGCTTTTGGTGTATTTCGGGCGGCAGCAGCGCCACTTACAGGCCTGACATATGTACTACATCGTTTCCAGCATTTCCAGCGGTCTAGTGNAATTTGAATGACAATCAAACATGTGGGAAGAGGGGGGTCGGCGCCCCTGGCGCCCCTATGGGCCGGCCGCCACTGCATGCACCCCTACTTTAGTGGGAACAATGAGTCTGCGTCTTTGATGCACACAGGAATAAACGCAGATCATACTCTGGCTGCAGCCTTTACCAGTACTTGCTTTTGATCAAAGTCAATGCGGAAAACCTGCACTCACACAGGTAGGTGGAGGTGAAGGGAATGAACACTTTTACAGCCTTTTTGGCGAGGTGGGGGAACTCACTGTCCACAGACAGCCACAAGTGGGCAAGTGTCACTTTACTCGTCTTTTTCTCGTTCTTTTGTGTCTCACGCTGCGCCTCCCCTGAAGCTCTCTGGCGCCCCCCAGGGGAGGCGCGCCTCACACTTTGAAAACCGCTGCTCTAGAGGTTTCTCAATACTCAAATTTCCCCTCCTCGACTCCTATCCTCGACTCCTCTCCTCGAGACTTGAGGACCCGAGGAGAGAGGAGGTTCTTTTGTGTCTCACGCTGCGCCTCCCCTGAAGCTCTCTGGCGCCCCCCAGGGGAGGCGCGCCTCACACTTTGAAAACGGCTGGTGTAGAGTAAACGCATTGTACTCTTTAATGTACTACATTAAAATGACAGCTATAGTTACTTCACAGATTAAGATTAAACATCCAAAACATGTAATAATGTCCAAAAAATGTACACATTGTTGCGGATTGTACCCAACCGGCTACAACTAAAATGCTGCGTTCATGTAAACTTATCTAATAAAAAATAACATGAAAACAGGGTTAAAGAGAAATACAGTATACTGTTGTTTTTTCTAGTTGTATGCTTATGTACTTTTACTTTGGTAAATGAAAGCAAGATTTATACTGCAAACTAGAGAATGCATTCCCTGCTGAAAATGTGTGTGAATGCTGTAAACTCTGTACATTTGTTTCTGTAGCTGAAAGTAGGCTGAAGGAGTAAGATATCAAATATACGTATATAAGTACAAGTAGTATTAGCTTAAGTAGTAGTAGTAGTAGTAGTAGTAGTAGTAGCAGTTTAAGTTTTAGTAGAAGTAGTAATAATAGTAGCAGCTGTACTAGTAGTAGCAGTAGTAGTTGTATTAGTAGTTGTAGTAGTAGTTGTATGAGTAGAAGTGGTGTTAGTAGTAACAGGTTACCGTGGTAACTAGGTTACCGTGGTCACCTGCAGCAGCAGAGGGAGGCTCATTCAGAATGCATTGAGGATTATATCTGACAATTTTGCCTCCTGTTAAAAAACGATCGCTCCTATCAAAAGAATGACCTGACCGTGAGCATCAGAGAGCCCTGATGAACAAATCTGTGTTGTTGTTTTGTGTTTTGTGTGTTAAATGTGGACATGGCAGCAGATGGTCAAACGTTTACTTCTTTCTTGTATGAAGAAAGATCCGGACAAATTTAACATGGGCGTCTATTCAGAATCAGAATACCTTTATTCGTCCCACAGAGGGGAAATTTACAATTTGTTTGTTTATTTATTGGGCAGCTTGGTGCACTTGTTGTCACTCAGATCACTATTGGGCACAACAGTGCGTCAGTTTTATATGATGAAGGGAATTGAGCAGGCCACACTAATAATAACGCACTCTAACTCTGAAGAGTAAGATTACCAAGGAACCTTGGTGTTATATTTGATCAGGATTTATCTTTTAACGCCCACATAAAATCAATCTCAACTGCCTACTTCCATCTACGCAACATTGCAAAAATCAGGTACAGTGGGGCAAAAAAGTATTTAGTCAGCCACCAATTGTGTAAGTTCTCCCACTTAAAAAGATGAGAAAGGCCTGTAATTTGAGACTATGAGAGACAAAATGAGAAAAAAAAAAATCCAGAAAATCTCATTGTCTGATTTAAAAAAAATTGATTTGCAAATTATGGTGGAAAATAAGTATTTGGTCACCTACAAACAAACAAGATTTCTGGCACTCACAGACCTGTAACTTCTTCTTTAAGAGCCTCCTCTGTCCTCCAGTTGTTAACTGTATTAATGGCACCTGTTTGAACTCGTTATCAGTATAAAAGACACCTGTCCACAACCTCAAACAGTCACACTCCAAA